TAACCACAAGAAGAAAACATTCTGAAATTGATGGGGTGATGATTGCACAACTCTTCTTAACATGATTAAACTATTAAAATGTATGATATGTGAATTGTTTGCCAAAATGTTCATTGAAAAAGATTTTAAGTGCCATTTACAATAGCCACACAAGAGATAAAATGCTTAGGAATAAATCTAACCAGAGAAACAAAAGACCTGAACAAAGAAAACTACAGAACACTCTAACCAAGAAACCAAGAGGGAGCGACATACATGAAAAAGTATGTTATATTCAAAGAGAAGATAGCTTAATATTATGAAAATGCCAATACTGTCCAATCTGTAAATGAAACACAATTACAATGCAAATCCCAACTTCGTTCTTTAAAGAAAGGAAGAAACGAATGACTAACTTTATATGGAGCGGGAAGAATAAGCAAAGAACTCCTTTAGAGTTCTAAACTAAGAACCTTTGTACTACCTGACCGGAAAACTGATTACAGCCTGGTTCTAGTACAAAGATAAGTACATGGATGAGTGGAACAGAATAGAAAACCTGGAAGTCACTTGATCCACTTACAGGCAACTGAACTTTGACACAAGGCCAAAAACACTAAACGGTAAAGAGCCAGTATCTTCAACAAATGGTGCTGGCAAAATTAGATCTGTCTGCAGAAGAAGGAAACTCACTCCATGGATAAAAAAATTCAAGATGGATCAAAGACTCAAAACTATAAAGACCATCAATGAGCAAATAGGTGTAAACTGAAGGACCTTAGTACCAAGCATAGACATACTATGAAGCATCGTGGGGGCAGTGCATAAAGCAGAAGACATAACAGATGAGCGGGACCAACTACAAACAAGACATTGACGTGTTCAGAGGACTTCATCAAACAGATAAAAAGAGAGCCCACGGACTGGAAAACCTGTATCAATGACACAAAGGACTAGGAGCAATCTAGAGAACATGGCTATCCCTCAATAAGGGGGAAAAGTTAGCCAACGTAAAAATGGGCAAAAGATATGAATAAACAGTTTACCAAAAGTGACATTGAAAGGGCAGGCAGACACATGAAAAAAGGCTCAAGATCCCTAGCCATCCAGGAAATGCAAACCAGAACAATGATGAGCCATCACCTTACATCGACATCCACTTTAAAATAAAAAGAAAGAAAAAAATCAAAAAACAGAAAATACCAGAGAGGATTCGGAGAGATTTTAACGCTCACACACTGCTGGTGGGTCTGTAATTCTGAACCAGCACTATGGAAAGTGATGTGGTGACACCTCAAACAACTGGGAGGAGAAATTCCTTACAATCCAATAAGACCTCTGATGGGAATATAGATTAAAGAAATAAAAACCATAACACAAATAGGCCCTCCCATGTTCTTCACAGCAATGCTCTCAATTGCAGTACCTTGGAAACAGTGCAAAAGCCCATCAGTGGAAAAGTAGATAAAGAAACTTTGGTAGATACACACAACAGAATACTAGGCATCACTACTAAAGACCATTGATGAAAACACAAAGCACCTCACCATGTGGATGGACCTGAAGAACATCATGCTGAGCAAAGTTTGTCATTCTCCAAAGGACAAGTATTGTATTGATCCCTCTATTATTAGGATAAGCACCAAGACCAAGTCTAATATCTGTTGTCAAGACATGCGTTCATTTAATCTGTCTTCCAAGCAATGTGCTGGCAGGTCTGCCTAATGCTTATGGTTCAACAATCTTCCTTTCAAGAGTTTCCAATAATTGATAACTTAAGATCAAGATATAATTGCTATTGTCATGTAGTTGTAACATGTCTTAGCTCTGCAGGCACAGATTTGCTTTGCATTTAACCCTCATTATTCTCGTAACCTGTGTTGGGTCAAAGTTTTTCATCTGTACAAGTGAACGTTCCAAGTTTGTTAGTCCAATAAGCCTTCCTAAATATGTACATTTTCCTTTTCTCCCTAGTATTTTAAATTCTACGCCATCAGCTAGATTAGTGATAGTATTATTAGCATCATCAAATGACAGACAACAAACCCTGACACAGAGTACTAAGTAAATGCGTATTGAATCAATGAATAAAGGCAATACACTGTTGGACAGCTTTTCTGAAATGTAGTATTCATAGAATCACTTGGGGAATCTTGTTAAAATGCAGATTCGGATTCAGTAGATCTGCTTGGAAGCTCAAGGTCCTGAATTTTAACACGATCTCGGGTGATGGAGAAGCTACCAGCACCTATCCCACACTATAATAGCAGGACTAGGTGGGATACAAGGATGAGTGAAAAGCAGGTTGGTTTTGCTGGAGGGAGCTCATGACCTGGTCATGGGAGTTGGCATGCTTACATTGTGACCCAGGTCACATCATCTTCACCTTCACTTTTACAACAAAAGCACATGCAACTTGAAGTGACCCAGGTCAATTAGTGACCCAGGTCACTAATACCATCTTCACCTTCACTTTTACAACAAAAGCACATGCAACTTGAAGCAATTGGACATTGAGGTCAATACTGACTAGAAACATTATTTTTAAAAAGATAAGGTGACACATATATAGCTATGACAAAACCATTCTAAGTGGTATAACAAGGCACAAAACTTAAGAGAATGATTGCCAATTGGGTAAATAGGGATAGAGATCATGTTGAAACATAGCAAATGAATATCCCGGGACAGAGAAGGGAGAAATTGAATTTCATTTTGCTCCTGAGTAGCCATGCAACCTTAATCAAGTCACTTAGATTTTCTAAATCTATAGTTTCATCATCTAGCAATTGTAGCAAATGATACCCAACTTAGAGTTATGAAAATACAGTGAGGAATCACAAATAAATTAAATAGCCGTGTCTACCATATGGTAGTCTTTATCAAAAACATATGAAGTCCTATTTCTTTCTTACAGTGTTAAAATGATTCGGAATCAACTGGATGGCAGTGGGTTGTTTACGTTTCATTCTTATAATATTATTTCCCCAGTGAGTGAGAGAAAACAAAGTCTTGATTTATAAGCTTGATTGCTAACATATGTGAAGAGAAACAAAGATACGAAAATAAGATAGATATATAAGTGGTTTATATAAGACTAGCACTTTGTTTGAATTAAGCACTAGCCTATGAATCGGAAGAAATGAGTCTACTCCAGGCTCCAGCAATAACTAGATGTGTGCTTTTTGGACGTTATTTAACAACCCTGGGTTTCTGCATAATTTCCAAAATCATTGTATACACCTGCCTAAAAATATAATGGACCTTTTCCATGCTGCTGCTTAAGCCCCTGCATTTACATCGATTGGCTTCTTTAAAACAATATAATTCTTTCGACCTTTGATGTGTGCTTTCTTTTCATTGGGAGTAACAGTAACTGACAGAATGCTTTAAAGTATAGTACAATTAAAACACTGATGAAAAGAAAAGGGTTGGGTTTTTTCCTCCTGAAACATCCAATAAACATCCTTAAACTATGTCGTTGTCGTGTGCTGCCACGTCCATATCAACTCATCATGGCGCTATGGGGCTGTGTGGAAAAGCCCCACAGGGCTCCTACCTGATAAATCTTCATGCGAGCAAAATGACAGGCCTTTCTCCTTCAGAACAGCTGCTGGGTTGAAAGTCCTGACCATTCTTTTAGCAGCTAACCACTAATCAGAGCACCTTCAAATTGTGACTAAGCTTTAAAGAAGTAGATGAAATTACATAACTTACGTTTTACTTGGAAAACTTCCATCTTTTTCTATTAAACAGATGTGCAAATTTTTACTGGTGGATTCATATCTTATTAAATATGATACGAAACAACTTAGAATATACTATCACTGAAATAGAAGGAAAAATATATTTTGGAAAATATTCAAGCTAACAGCATTTTAACTAGCAAACTCAATATTTTGTTAGGCTGTTCATAATTTTCTCATAAATTTAAAGGTAAAAGTGTGATGCTTCAAAAAATCATAATATTTCAATACAATAATTAATACAAAGGGTCAACTGAACTGTAGAGAGCCATCTAACTATATTTCACTAAAGGAAAATGAAGCTTTGAAAAGAATTGTTTATGCCTTTACACCCCTCACACACACCTCCTGGTGAATGAGTTTTGTGGTACCTCTTTTATGTCTTTTGTGTATGTCTTTCAGAATGCCCATGAACTCAAGCCACTTGTGCCAGGTGGATTTAGTTATATCATTTCAATGTCCATGGCTCCTCTCTTTCCTAATAAATACATCTGTTGTTATACTTAACCACCCCTTTTATGAATTTCTAACTAGAGCCTACTTTGTTTGAGCCTGGAAAATTCACACTGGTGTTTTACAAAAATGGAAAATTAAAACTTCTGCAGTGCATGGCACACATTACCTGCAGATAGACACGCTGTAACTGCTGCATTAATATTCACTGATGTGTTAAGGTAATAACGACCCATCAGCTTCTATTGTCTATGAAGCACTTTCTAGCTATAGGGATGGAAATTAGTGACAGAGTCTCCCTGAGCTGCCTGATGTCAGAGCTGAGAAAGGGGTGAAGGGTATACAAAGCTGGATTACTAGTGAGCAAGTGGAGATAAGCACTCCAGTGAATGCCAGTTTGGGATTTTTCATGAAGTTTTCTTGCTGTCAAAGGTATTTTCTAATATTGCTGACCCTGAAACATTCAAAGGTAAATAATTTCCCTGTTCTGGGAAAGCATTCTTTATTCAGACTTGATATTAAATATACAGTATATCATAGAGACTAGCTAATGGGACAATTTACTAGAATATTAATTCTCCAAAAATTTTGAAGGAGGAAATTGAGAAAGTAAAAAATTGGAAACCATTTGAAAATTGCTTAAATAGTACTAAAGGTTTATAATAATAGAGATTATGTTCCTTATAAACTGTATTTTTTAAAGAAAACTAGTTTGTCATTGTTGTTTTAATTGGGTCCTAGTTTAAAATTTCATCAAGTTTGTCCTGTTTGGAATTCTTGATTTTAGGGCTGAAGCATGCTTTTCAGGAAATTTAAGACGCAATGTGCATCCTGGAGCTGCCGGACTTCACATTTTGCTGTCTGTTGCGTTAAGCCATCTGAAAGCCCACCCATTGCAAGGTTAATAACTTCAGAATGTTAGGGTTTGTTTCTTTGTTTAACTTGGAAATTTAGAATTAAATGCTGCTACATAAATAACCTCCTTTGAGCCATTAGATGTTTGACTAAACCATGCTTACGGAGAGCACCTTAAACTATTGCAGCGTTCCTTGAATTCTGTGTTCTTCAAAGTATAATGCTTGGGGCTGATGACTCTCCTTGACAGACTTTTGCCACACAGGTCTGGATAGTTCCCATCTTGTCAAGAAACGGGCTGCTAGAAGTTCCAAGAGCAAAGCCAGAACAAGAAGCAGGGAATGCCGAAAGATAATTACTACTGTGTTAACCTGACTCTCAACAAACTGAAAAACACGTAAGTGAAACATGTATTTTATATCAGGCAGAATTGCATGATACTACGTAAATTGGTTTTCTTTCTCTCAGAGAGATTTGACAATATCCATAGCATTTATATCTCCTAGAAATGGAAATACATGAAAGTAACCAGGGAACAAGTTAAATCTTTAAGAAGTTAGAATCAATTTGCTGTGAGGGAGTTCTTCTATACTGCTAGCTGTCCTGCTTATGAAGCAGAATTATACATCTATTTTAAAATCAATCTCCATGAGATTACTTCTGAGCTGCTCTAAATGTAAATTAATGCTTCTTGAAAATATAATGAGGTAACATTCACATCAGGAATTCCTAGGAAGAGATAATTTGAAAGGTGTGGTGTCAGTTAAATGGAAAACTTTTAAAGAACCCAAAAATTACATCAGATAAAAATGTCAGAGTAATTACAAATTTCAATGTGGTGTACCATTAAAATTTTAATTCACCTTGTACTTCAAATGCTTAAGTCTAGGTCCATGCATATGTTATAAATAAGATAACAAGGATTTGGCTATGCCTAAATCAGTTTTGAATCCAGAGTCTTATTGGAGTGGACTTAACAGACCATGAGACTAAGGAAAATTATTAAATTTACTTTGGAAATGAGTTTGCTTCACATTAAAATGGTCACCATCTTGAGTTTATTTTCCTTTGCTTTGCCTTTTTTTTGGGGGGGTGGGGTGGGGGGTGAAGATAGAGGTTTGTGCCTGTGTACAAAGATTTCTACTACACCTACATTTAACAAACAGCATAGAGAGAAGATCTCCTTGACATTTCAGAGCTTACCTAATTTACAGGGTGTTCTTCCCAAAACAGACTGTCATTTCTAATTAGCTTTTTCATGAATAAAAATAACTTTTATAGTAGCATGAAGTTATTTATAATCTAGCAGAAAAATTGAAGGATGACAGGAAAATTAGCAGCATTACCTAGCATTTCAGTCATATCATGACTCTTTCATTCTTTAGAGATATTTGCTATGCATCTTTAACCAAATTGTCTTTGTGGCTGTTTGCTTATCAATGAATAGTGAAGTGAAATTCATTCAGCAATATGATAAGACATAACCTTATTTATCATCATGTTATTTTTTATTCATTTCACAATCTTTTACTTTGAGTCGTTAGAAATGTTTCTTGAATAGTCTAAAAATTGCTTCTTAATGTGTTTCCTGAAGTTAGTGTCGTTGTTCTTTGTTCATTTTTTAAAAGAGGGGACACTATCATCTTGTGCTGGCAACCAGGTAACGTCCTTTAAAACTCTCCAAAGGCTGACACTGTCTGCCAGAAAGTCCCCAAGTTTTAAATATCTTTAAAACTTAAAGGTAATAAAGTTTTAGCATTCCATGACATTTCACACAGGAGATTACATCATTCCTTTTGTAAAAAGTCCAATTTTTAATACTTATATGAGAGGGGATAGCATATTTGATTTAGACATAGCAAATTGATTTTACAAATACATGCACCCCCAAAACAGTTACTTATTCTGCATAACTGAGGCAAAAGGATCACTTGCCTACCAATGATTTTACACTGTTTGGTAAATGTCTGCCTGTCATGTAATCCAAGGGTATTCAGAATCATAATTATATAGAGACCAAGCTAAGATCACTGCAGGAGCTTACATACCTCCAAATAAGAGAACAAGGGAAACACGGGGGATTTTAAAGTCCTTGGGAAATGAGGTGATTTTAAAGAGAGCGAATGTAGGGTTATAATTTAACCTCTCGGCATCACTGTTTCAAATCTCTTCATCAAGAATATCCAGGTACATACGTGCTTCCAAGGGAAACTTTGTCAGCGTTGGGCGGGGTTGGACTGCTAAGAGAAAGGTTGGTGGTTTGAACTCACTATCCACCCCAAGGCAGAGGATGGGGTCGTCTGCTTTCTACGGCCTCAGAAACCCTACGGAGCAGTTCTCCTCTGTCCAAGAGGGACCCTTGGTCTGGGAATCGAGTAGCCAACAGTGGGTTCTAGATGCTTCTAAGTGGTCAGCGTTAGCTAATAGGCTACGTTTGCCCAGGTAATCAATGAAGAACACCACCTCAAGGTAGGAACTAGTTATGTCTGTCACCTTTGTTATCCTAATATTGCTATTGGAGAGAATCTTGTATGTGCTGAATAGTCTTCTTAGGACATGCTTGTTTAGGAAATGAGTTTTACAGTTAAGGAAACAACAAAACTGAAGACTAAATATGTCTTTTAAGTAGAGCAATGGCCCTCTAATTCCCGTACCTCAAATTAAAAGCCAAATATGGCCACTAAGTCCATTCTGACTCATCGTCATCCATGAGCATAGAAAATAACGAACTGTCCCATAAGCTTCCCGAGCTTTCAAATCTTTAGAGCAGCAGGTTTTCACATCTCTCTCCCTTGGAGTCGGGTGAGTTTGAATCTCCTACCTTTAGGTAAATAGCCAAGAGAACAATTTTAATACTTTTTGTTAACCTTGAGACTAATTATCAGCTTGCTTTTTAGACATTTAGCACATAGAATATTTTACACTCTGTCCCAGGCATTTCCAAATGTATTTTGGGACATGTACCCTTTTGAACTTTGTCAATTTGACACTTTATTTCTGTTATTGCTTTACATGTATTAGACCGAAATGTCTGGGCCAAATTGCAATTCCAGCTGTTTTTCAAGAGAAGTTTATCATCTTTACACATTTTATGTCCAATGTATGTAGTTGTTGGTTCGCCCCTTGTACATGAAAGCATTCTTTTGAAAAATGCACGTTGGGCATGCTTAGTACCCTTGCTAAGAGAAAGAAATAATGGAACAGATAGTGTGCACAAGACTAATATGTAGGTTGGTTAATTAGATCTAAAAGTGGTCTCCTTGGCCTGAATGGCTGGTTTGTGAGCATTCACTTACACTCAAGACATATCCACTTCACCTGATACTGTAAGAATTTTCTATATTTTAGAAGAAATCTGGGAGTAAAATCCCTGAAGTTTCAGATAAAACTTTCTTTTTT